CCTCTTTATTTTCCATCATTTGGTCTTCTATATCGCTGATTCTCTCTTCTGCCTCATTTATCCTAGCAGTTAGTGCCCCTATTTTTGATTGCACCTCATTAAGAGCCTTTTTGATTTCGACTTGGTTAGATTTTAGTTCTTTTATTTCTCCAGAAAGGGTTTCTCTAATAACCTCCACGCTTTTTTCAAGCCCAGCTGGTATCTTTAAAGTCATGATTCTGAACTCTAGGTCTGACATTGTACTAATGTCCGTATTGAGTAGGTCCCTGGCAGATGGTACTACCTCTTGTTCTTTTTGCTGAGGTGATTTTTTTCATCTTGTCATTTTGTCCAGAGTAGAACAGATGAATGAGAGAACAGAATGCTAACAGGTTAACAACGTCTCCAGCAAATATACTCTTTACAAATCAGAAAAGACCTGAAACCAGGGGACAAGAAAGGGAAAGAAAGAAGAGAGAAAAAAAAAAGGAAAAAGAAAAAGATAAAAACAAACAAAAACAGAACAAAAAAAAAAAACAGAATATGATCAAATATGATCAGGCTAGTGCATAGATCAGTGCCACACACTAGCTTTTGGGCATATTTTGGTCTTTTAGAAAAAAGTGCCTGCTAAAATTTTCAAGGAACAAAGACTTATATATGTCGAAAATAAGGGTTGATACAATGAAGGGATGGAAGATGGCTGTAAAGATGAAAATTATAAAAGATTTCATAAAAGAATTGATAAGATAAGTAGTTGTTTTTAAAAAGAAAGAAGATTTAAAAAATAAAAAGAAAAAAGAAAAAAAGAAAAAAAAGGGAGAGAATGTGATCAGTCAGGAGACCAGAACAAAGCCATACACTAGTGATTTAGGGTATATTTTGATCTGGTAAAATAAACTGTATCTCAAAATTTTAAAGAGAGAACAACATATATATATATGCCAAAAATAAGTGTAACTACTATTAAGGGATAAAAATATGACTATAAGAATGAAAAATAAAAAAATGTTTTTTTAGAAAAGGGATTGATAAGATGTTGGTTGAAAAAGGGAAAAAGAAAATTTCAAAAAAAAAAACAGTTAAAAAATTAACTTTGCAAAACTAATGAATTATGGTAAAAAAGCCATGAATTCTATGTGCAGTATTCCCCTAGCGCTGCAGTTCTCCCATTCTCCTTGATCGGTAAACTTGGTCTTGGCTTGCTGGCTGTTCCTGCTGATCTTCTGGGGGAGGGGCCTGTTGCTGTGGTTCCCAAATGTCTTTGCCGGAGGCAGAATTGCCCCGCTCTTGTGGGTCCGGGCTAAGCAAGACGCTCGGGTTTGCTCTCAGGAGCTTTTGTTCCCTGCAAGCTCTGGTACAGCTTTGGAGGACCAGGGTGAAAATGGTGGCCTCCCAATCTCCACCCAGAGGAGCTGAGAACTCGGGTCCCCACTCCTCAGTGCGCCCTCAGAGAAAAGCAGTCACTCCCGTGTCCCCGGTCTCCGGCCGCACTCCGCGCTCACCCGGCCTGTGACCGAGCGTTTCTATCTCTGGCACCCGACCCCGTGTGGAGTCTCCAAACCCAGCAGATCCCTGCGGTGCGCTCCCGCGCTGCTCCTCCTGGGGGAGGAAGGGGAGTCTCCCCGGATCTGCCGCTTGTTGGGTCCCTGCTGGAGGAGCAGTGGCCCGACTGGGCCGCGGATCACAGTTTATGGCAACCCCGAGCTGAGAGCCCGCCTCTCATCTCCGTCTCTACAGCCGGCTTCCCCGCTCCGATCCCTGGGCGCTCTGCCGCACTCAGGCACCCCCGGTCTTTCTGTGACCCCGAGGGTCCTGAGACCACACTGTCCCACCAGGGTTCCACACCCCACTTAGCCACTGGAGTGACGTCCCTCAGCGGAGCCAACTTCTAAAAGGTCCGATTTTGTGCTCCGCGGCTCTAGCACTTGCCAGAAGCGGCCGGCGGAGGCCCCTCCCCCGCCGTCTATCCTCCCGAATATCGCCTCGGATTCACTTCTCTGCACGTCCTACCTTCCAGAAAGTGGTCGCTTCCCTGTTCAGAGAGTTGTTGCTATTCTTTTCTTCGATCTCCTGTTGAGTTAGTAGGTGTTCAGAATGGTTTGATCCGTATTCAGCTGAATTCCTGAGACCAGACGACATCCAGGTCTCCTACTCCTCCGCCATCTTGCTCCGCCCCCCTTGAATTGTGGTATACTCTTACAATAGGACACCACACAAATAAGGCAAAACCCTGATCCATGCAACAAGGTGAATGACTCTCACAAAATGATGAGTAAATAAAGCCAGTGATGAGTAAATAAAAGTATATAGTGATGATTCAGTTTATGAGGTTCAAAAACAGATTAATGTATGGCAGTAGAAGTCAGAATAGTAGCAGCCTCTCATTATACCATGTCATTAATTGCAAAAGTTCTAATTCAGTTTTCCAAAATTAACTCATAAAAAATATACTAGTGTTTTTACAAAAGTAGATGGACTATTCAATTCTGGTTCACTTCAGCATATAATTGTAGGAATTCCAGGTGAATGTGTTTAAGTATTAACTTTTACATCTGACTCATACAATTTCAAACAGCGAAATTCCTGCTGTAATTCGTAGAGCCTAAGTGGCAGTATCTCTAAACCATGTGAAGCAGGACTGGAAAATAAATTTTTCTTTTTTCTTTTGTCTTTTCTTTCTTTCTTTCTTTTTTGAAAATAAATTTAAAAGGAAGTAATCTGACCACACAAAACCGAAGGCTTTTGGAGTCATCTCACTCCCTGGGATTGAAGAAAGAAACTCATTGATGGACGGAAAAGCTAAACCCATAAAAATAAAGTAGGAGGGCAAAAACCCACCTGCATAGAGTTGGATAAAACAGATTAAATATTTAGATCTAAAAGTACCTCAGAAGGACTTGTCAATCTTACTAAAAATACATATTCCTATGTTTCACTCTAGAATCACTGAAATAAAGTATCCTGGGTGAATCCAGGATGTGAGGTACACACATGTGCATGAGTGTGCTTGTTGGCTTGAATGTAGGCTGTAACTGTTTTGGTTCCCACCCCAAGAATCATTCCAGTGGTTCCAATGTAGTCAGTGGAACACTGATGTTCTTGGTTTGGAGAGCCACTAGTTTAGATGTTTCCCTCTATTTATATCCACATGCATCTTCATACTAGGAAATAACCAGTGTGAGGAGAAATCAAAACATGTTTTGATTCTTGGGTATTTCTTAAGAGAGTGAAAAGCAAACTGCATTGTCTTCAAAGATTTCAGAAGTGGGGGGGGGGGGGGCAGGGGGGAGTAAGGAGTATTAGAGCTCCAGAGTAAGACTTTTGACCCAGACCCAGTCAACTAGTAGCTACATGTTCATGACTCTGTTTGCCCATCTGGAAAATGGAAACAATGTTGAAGATACAGAAATAATGTTCATAAAGCACCTAGCATACAATAAGTGCTCATGAAAAGTCAGGTCATATTATTACATCTTTACACATTTTACCTAAACATAGTAGGCATTTTTGTGCAAATAATTCAAGAGGGGATTAGGATGTCGGTTTCAGGTGGGAATTTTAATGTAAAAAATGTTACATTATTTTTCTTGTAATTTTCTATATATATAGCTTTTACATCTCCATTTGACTTTGCTTGTCTTATATTGGAAAATGAGTTCTAAAGGGAAGGCTCATAATAGATTGAGCTATATTCCTCATGACTGATTGAGCCTACAACTTTGTCCCCAGGGCCAGCATAGCCTAGCCCATAGAAAAGCCTCAATAAATATTGTTGAATGCACAAATAAACAAAATGATCCATCAAGACATTACAAGTATCTTCAATTAATAGGATGCATAAGCCACTTTATTTTCCCTTAGACATGTGATGATGAAAACAAAACAACTTTTTTCAAGGACAGTTAGGAAGGTCAGGTTATTAGTATGTAAGGTGAGAAGAAGAACATAGTAGAGTGTCTTAGGTCACATCTAATTACACAATTACACAGTTGAGTTTATGAACACTCTGTCACGTTTTGCTTCCTCTCTCAAAAGAATGATGACATAAAGTACAGCCAGTTTGAAGCTCTTTGTCATAAGATTTATCAGTTGCAAAACTGAAGATAAAAAACCTTCAGTAAAAGCATCTAATAAATATTCCATAAACAGAACTCTCGTCGCTGAATTAAATATTTAATAGTGTCTATTGTCTGGAAAAAATGGAAGGCAATAAAATTAAGCAAATGGATACAATTTCAGGTCAGTTAATCAGCAAGATGAACTGAGTTGCACAAAGCCACTCTTTCCAAGTTTGTTAGTGTGAGGCAATAGGAGGAAGCCACATCTTCATTCAGTTTATTACACGAGCTCAGATTCCCTTACAAACTTACCTCCAGAAAGGTGTGAGAGAGGTAAGGTAACTCCTGAAGTGACAAAGGGAAGATTCATGTCTAAGTCTGTGGGATTCTCTACAAATCTCTTGTTATCCAGAAACCTTCAAAGCAAGTATCTCAGGACAGTAACTTAGAAATCTACTTCCTAAGAGGCAATTCAGTCTTGTGCCATCACCACCATCAGCACAAACACTTGCATTCCCCTCTAACCCCCCCACCCCAAGGCAATACTGACTCTGGCCAGACCACCAACGCTGTTGTCCTTGGAAGCACATCCAAGATGGCTGCCACAGTGACTGGGCTCCCATTCAAGCCCTTTCTGTCAACAGCCAACAGGGATTGCAAGTAAGGCTCTCCAGACCTCAGTGACAAAGTAGAGAGAAAAGATCTCCACTCTTACAGACACTATATCCTAGTGGGGGGAAAACAAACAAAAAATGTAATGTCAGATATGAAACGTGCTGAGTTACATACATACAGGGCAATACAGTAAGGAAATGGAAGGGTAGTAGGGATACAGGAGACTCAGAAGCTAACTGAGATTAGCTGGAGCCTTTCCCTGAGGAGCCCTAAGGAGGTGACCGTTACACTAAGGACTGAATGACAGTAAGAGCCAGTAAGCTGAGAGAACACCAGGGAGAAGGTTGTTAACAGACACAGAGAACAGAAGGAATCAAGACCCTTGGGCTGGAGCAAGCTTGTGACACAATGGCAGGGATCAGCAAACTTGCTCTGCAAAGAGGCAAAAGGTAAACATTTTGGCTTTGCATGCAAGACAATCACTGGGGCAACAAGTTAACTCTGCCATTGTAGTTCAAAAGCAACCATAGGTAATATGTAAATGAAGGGGCTTGGATGTGTGCCATTAAAACTTTATTTATAAAAACTGTCAGCTGGCCGTTTGTGGTCCCCAGACAGTAATTTGCCAACCCCTGCTCTGTTCCTAACAATAATACGCTATTCACACTTCTCTCCTAAAAGTTCCAATCATATGTGTCCACTTGTTTAACAATTTATTAAGCTCCAAATCCCCACTTTTCCAAACTCCACTGATATATTCATTTTAACTCAGTCTCATTTTAATGTTTCCTTTTTGCACTGACACCAGAAACTAAGATTTTATGTCATACATTAATAGTAAAAACCACTTTTATTTATATGCAAAATACCACCATCCATGGATAATTAATATAGCAATAATTTAAAGCCACTCTACTGCATTATGCATTATAAAACAGAAATAAGGTAATCTATAGTGATCTTACAGCTCAGGAGAAAAAACAACTACAAGGCTACAGTTTTCTAAATATTTCTGCCTTTTATAGGCAATTCACTGATTCACATTTTAATTGTCCTATAAATCAGTCTATTTCCCTTCTTAGCTCCCCCTCACATATTTTCCCTTTAGGAGATCGAGGTTGTCACCCGAGAAAAATAGAAATAGATACTCAGAGATCAGCAAAAGGACACACACACACACACACACACACACACATTATAATATTATTCAATATATTGGCAATCCATCTGAAAGATGAAGTATTTATTCACTGAAATTTATTTACTCACTTTATTTCCTCACCTGGATTTCGGAAATTGTACATCACTATTACCATCATCTTTCTTGAATAGACCTGTCACACTGAGTACTGTCATGATGAGTATCTATTTGCTTTTCCATCTTAGACCATAAGCACCTTGAGAGCAGTGAATTTGTTGCTGTATCAGCTACAGAGTGCCTGAGCACAGAGCATACCTTGCTTATAGCTCAAGAAATATTTGTTCAATTTAATTGTTTGCAATGAAGGAAATAGAGAGCTTTGTACTGCAGAATAAAATCTAGATAGAGAAGTTGAAGAGACTCTGGTAGCAGATCTGCAACAGACATTTACACCCTTCTGCTGAGCCATCCTCTGGGCAAAAGACTCCTAAGCGGGATGCATCTTGGATCTTTAGAACATTTGCCCATGTAAGGGTGCCTGAGTGGCTCAGTCAATTAAGTGTCCAACTCATGATTTCAGCTCAGGTCATGATCTTGGGGTCCTGGGATCGAGCCCCACATTGGCCTCTGCACTCAGAGGGGACTCTGCTTGAGGATTCTCTCTCTCCTTCTCCCCTGCGCCTCCCCCCATTCTTGTATGCACTCTCTCTCTAAAATAAATATATCTTTAAAAAATTTACCCATATATTAATTTACCATGTTTAATTCAAACTGCAAAACCATGCCCCGACATACATTAATTCATTTAGTTTTCAAAGTAACCACCGAGGTAAATATTTTTATTAAATATACAATATTATTAGTACTGATTTTACTGCTGCCACAATTTCTATCACCACTATTCCCAATTTAAGTAATTTGTGTAAGATAACAGCTATTTAGCAGAGACAGAAATTTATTCTATTTCAAATCAAATAGAGCGGAATATTGACTTATCAAATTGCTAATAAAGTTAGAGCCACCCCTAAAAATGACAACATGATTGCAAAACTCTTCCCATGTCTTCTAATTATTTAAATCTCTTACTCTTTTCTTTTATTCCAGGAAAAATAATCCTGGGTTTTCCATGGACTATTCTTTACTTCCTTACTTGTTTTTTTTTTTTATTTTTTGTTTGTTTTTGTTTTTTGGGTTTTTTTTTTTTTTTGAGAGACAGAGGGCATGTGAGCAGGGGAGGGGCACGGGGAGAGGGAAAGAAAGACTATCAAGGGGGCTCAACACTTAGCATGGCGCCTGACGTGGGGCTTGATGTCATGACACTGAGATCATGATCTGACCCGAAATCAAGAGTTGGACGCTCAACTGGCTGAGCCATCCAGGTGCCCCTTTACTTAATTTATTGAAAAACAATATGTAATGAAGGAAATATTTAAAGCTTTATCCAGGTTTCCTTAGAATGGTTGGATTGGCACAATTCTAAAGGAACTGGAAACTTTTCATATAGTACTTTTGTTCCAGAGTCCCACATGGTGAGTCCAACATCTCACCAATACTCATTCTCCTTTTTCCATATTAGAGAAACCCCTAAATTTTTAGCTGGACATATGACAACCCATAGTAAAAAAACACATCTTTATGTTTCCTTTGCCGATAGCTTTGACCACATGATGAGCAAGTTATGGATAAATGGGATGTCAGAGCAAGTATCATACACAAACTTCAGGGAATTTTCTCTAAATGATAACTGATTCGTATCCTTTGTCCCCTCTTTTCTGCTCTTTTTTCTGCTGTGTGAAATGTAGATGCAATGGATGGAGCTCTAGCCACAGTTTTGTACCATCAAGACAAGGGCCTCCCCGTAAAAATGATGGAAGATCTGGACGTAGGTCCCTGAGGATTCAAGAAGTAGAAGTATGACACCAGCCTTTAATTGACTACTCCTTGACTTTTACATGAAAGACAAAAACTTGTATTTTGTTTAATGTGCTATTATTCTGGGTCTCCTACTCATGGACAAAACTCATCCTAAGTGACACAAATACTCAACAGGTTTTAACCTATCACACTATTCCAACTGAGGATTTTTGTATATGAAATGGTATTTAAGAAAGACAAAGAAAATATTTCATGATGTCCTATCCACAGCAAATATATTCAATTGATATATATGTACAAACAGTGCTACAGGATGTAAAAGTTTTCAACAAAAGCTACAGCCTCATAGTGAATTACTGAAGGTGTACAAATTTAATTAGAACTTGAAAAATTAAGTTTTCCAAATTAATTTCCCACTGATATTAGTTATAATTTATAATGAAAATCACAGAAATTCAAGGATATTTGAGAAGACAAAGCCACAGAAAATTTAAAACATTCAAGTTATTATAAAATACTACCTTTCCAAACAAAACAGATGAAATAATCCCCAGACTTCAAATTAAAGCTCTCATCGTTTTAAATTTAATAACAAAACAGAGTTATTTGTGAGCTGAAAGGGTATCCTTGGGAGGATTCCCTAAATTGTCCTCAATGCCTCTGTGGGCCACTTGGTCAGTCTTGATTTGGAGCTTACTTTTGGCTTAAGGTATGAGGGTTCTCGGTGGGTCAGAGGACCAGCTGAGAAGAGGAGCAGAACTCCAAGGATGCTGGCTGCTCTCTAGTTCTTCAGGAAGTGGTCCCCACCTGACGACCGCCTCCTTTTCAACCTTCATCTCCCTATCACTTCTCACGGCACCCTAGCCTCTATGATCTCCCTACGCAAACTCTCCAGCTTTATTCATGCTTCACAGCCTTGGTATTTGTGGTTTCCTTTGCTTGGAATGTTCTTTCCCCAGATCTTTGCCTGACTTGACTAGTTTGTACCTTCATATCATTTAGGACACAACTCAAATGGCAATCCCTCAACGATGCCTCCTTGGACGTCCCTAAATTAGTGCTGCTTCTCTACCTCCCTTACTTTTCGGATCATTACGTCCTGTTTTGGTTTTGTTTTTCTGTTGTTGTTTTGGGGCTTTTGGGTTTTTTTTTTTTCATAGTGCACATAGTCTTCTGTTTATTGCTTATCATCTGCATTCTCCCATTTGCCCACCTCTACCTGATCCATGCAATATTCTCAGAAAGGGTACTTGGCATACAGTAAGTCATCGATTATTATTGTTGAATGAATAAATGAACTGGTAAATAAACCAATCATTTTTCTTTAATTCCTTCCATGTTTTGAATGCAACTATTTTTACACTGTAGAAAAATCTGGTATAGAAAAGACAGTAGGAAGATCATTGGGAATTTATGAAGTCTTCAAGTAGAAATCTACTATCATTTCATCTATAAATGTCACCTATATGATCTTTAAATGAATTAGAAAGCACAGGCACACTAAATACAGCTCACCTTTTTATCTCGTGGATCCTGCCAGGGCTGTCTTCCAGTACCACTGTGATCACTAACTTGATTGTGTCTTTCTACACAACTTTACTCTTTATTCTTTGTCTTTCTTTTGCATCCCAGGGACTTACCCATATTCTTGCCTAACATTTCTGTTGCTTGCAACCAGAGAACCATCAGTGATCCATCAAGAAAGTTTCTGAGTCACTCTTCTGAGTCAAGTCTCCAGAACGGACCTGGGACTCTCCTCATTTTGAAAGGCCAAAGTTGAAATTTGGACAGCTACAAATTGCAATAATTCATTTGCAAACTAAATAGTGATATAGTCCCATTGCATCTTCCAAGATCTCTGACTCTAACACTGAAACTACAAACAAAACAATGTAAAAGGTGCCACACATGCTCACTAATATTGAAATGGAGCCTCATCTTGCATGCTTGTCTAATTTATTTGGCCTGAAAGCTTTTAACTTTTTAACTGAATCCAAGTGTGAACACTTGCAATTTAGTGCCTCTTTTAAAACTTATCTGTTCAGAATGCATGAATATTCCTCCAGTGGAAGGGATAATAGAAAAGTAAATTAATTATATTTTAACTTTCCAATCTCATTTTCACTTTGCAGGAACTGTGCAGGATAACTATTAACCTTTCATTTTAAATGAAAAATTTAAAGAATTACCATGAGGTAATTTCAAACTACAACAAAAAGCGACCACATATCATGGATCCCTTCTTGCCAAAAAATATCATCCTGAAAATGTAGACTGACTTAGCATCATCTAGAAATACTTTCAATAGCCTTTTTCAATTTTGTTCACAAGTATTTAAGCAAGGGTGCCCATAAAACTGGCAGTTATCAAAGTAGAGGAGTGTCAAAAATAAAGCTTGGTTGAATCAACTTTCATTTTTTTCCAGTTAATGGTGAACAGAATTACATTTATACATGTCTGATCTCAGAATACCTTCACAAGAAAATAAATATAGATTAACCTCTTTTTAAAAAAAAAAATCACAAAAAGTTTATTTGTAACACAATTGTTTGGAATTCATTTTTTATTGAAGTGTAGTTGCCACACAATATTATATTAGTTTCAGGTGTACAACACAGTGGTTCCGCATTTATATACATTATAAAGTAATCACCATGATAAATCTAGCTACCATCTGTCACCAAAGTTGTTACCATATGATTAATTATATTCCCTATGCTGTACATTGTGTCCCCTATCTTATTTTATTACTGAAAATGTGAACCTTTCAATCCCCTTCCCCTATTTTGTCCATCCCCCACTCCTCTCCCCTTTGGCAACCACAAGATTGTCCTCTTTATCTATGAGTCTGTTATTGTTTTGTTTTTTCATTTGTTCTGTTATTTATAGCCCTCATATAATTGAGATAATATGGTATTTGCCTTTCTCTGACTTATTTCAGCTACATAATACCCTCTAGGTCCATCCATGCTAACACAAATGACAAGATATCATTCTTTCTTATGGCTATTATATATATATATATATATAGAGAGAGAGAGAGAGAGAGAGAGAGAGAGAGAGATCTCACCTCTTCATCTTTCTTTGTCCATTCATCTATTGATGGGCACTTAGGTTGCTTCCATATGTTGGTTATTCTAAATAATGTTACAATGAACGTGGAGGTATATGTATCTCTTCAAATTAATGTATTTATTTTCTTTGGGTAAATATCCAGAAGTGGAAATACTGGATCATATAGTACTTCTATTTTTAATTTTTTGAGGAACCTCCATACTGGTTTTTCATAGTCGCTGCATCATTTTTTATTTCCACCAACATGCATGAGGGTCCCCTTTTCTCCACATCCTTGCCAACACTTGTTATTTCTTGTCTTTTTGATAATAGCCATTCCGACAGGTGTGAGGTGGTATCTCACTGTGGGTTTGATTTGCATTTCCCTGATGAGGAGTGATGTTGAGCATGATATGTCTGTTAGCCATCTGCTTCTTTTAGTTAAAGCTGATGACTCCTTTTGGATGCCTAAGGACTAAAATGTTTTTGACCCATTTGGTTTCGAATCTGAAACTTTGAACATCTCTTATTTATACACCACAAGGCCCTTCAAAGATTCCTTTTGTATTGGGGATAGAGCTTATAATTTTCAACAAGCCTGATCAAATAGCATTCTCCTCTTGGCTTTCTCTGTCTACTCACCGCTTCCAGATCTTCATTCCAGGCAGAGTCAAGTCATGTATATCCAACAAGCTGTTCTCTGGACACCTAGCTGTGTTGCCTTCCTTTCCTTTCATGCTACATTGGTGGAGAGGCAGGACACCTCTTCCACTTGCATTACTGCATTATAGCCTTTTGCCCTAGGCTGCAAAATGGTTTGACCTAGCACTTCTTGATTTAAAATCTGGATATTTTGTTGATCATAGAATTTTTTGTGTAAATTTTTATTTCTTTAAATACTACATTAAACTATTATTTCTCATGATTACTGTATATTTTGAAGCACCCTTAAATTTTGGTACCAAAGAAAGTGAGGCAGTCTAGACCTGCCCTGCACACTCCCCACACTCCCCACCCCACACACACACCCAGACCCAAATAGAATCCCAATAGTCTCCCTGGCTCTCCAGGAATGTTTGAGGACTTAGGAGCCACTGCCCTCCAAGAAAAGGGAACAGGGTTTTTAGTCAATGATATCAAAAATTCACACAAATATAGCATTTGCCATGAGCCAGTTTCTAAGTATATTAGCACAATTTTGTCTCAAAACAACTCACTAAGGTAGATCCTCAATGGTTAAGCCTGGAGAAATAGAGAGGTGAAGTGACTTGGTCAATATCACACAGCTTTTAGATTTGAACTTGGAGATTCTGGCATCAGAACTCATATTTATCCCTATACTATACTGTGTCTCAATAATTCTTCTTTTAATGGACAATTAAACTCTCGTGGAGAAGAAAAACAAACTAAGGTTGGGAGGTATGGCAATAAAAATTTGGAAGGAAAGCATCAGAAGATTTGGGTAGATGAGATCAGAGTAAAAGGGTTGGGATTGAAGCCCAAGGATGTTTTCCCAAGGGTGGGGAGGGTGGGCAGCAAGATCTACTCAAGACATGATAAGTTACATTTAAAGGCTGTGTTGGAATGCACAGGAGCTTCGCTGGAGCAAGAACTTCCATCACAGGCACTCAGACGTGGCCCAGTTCATGCTGTTATTGGCTAAGGATGGAGACATATGGCCAGCACCAGATTCACCCTGTCTTCAATCAATACCAGTATGACCACCCTGTGGGTACTCCCCTGACAATAGCCCAGGCTTCCTAAAAGTCCAAAATGGGGCTTGCCCTGGACGTCTGTGGGATAGTGGTGGTAGGGAATCCCACCCCTATATTTAGAAGGTACTAAAAATCACAAGATCCCTAAGCTGGGATATTGGTTACAAACCCCTGTTCACACTGAATATTTCAAGTCCTCTAAAGTGCCACCCTTTTTCACCCCAGGACTTACAACAAGGGATTCTCAAAACCTAAAACAGTCTTACCCCTCTGCTGCCCCCTTCATCCCACCCTGCTGCTCCTAGAGAAGTCCTATCAGTAT